CAATGTACTTCTGCCGTCATTCTGCTCCAGGTAAGAAGCGTTTCATCGTTCTAACAATGTAATTCGTATAATAATTTACTTATGTGTTTCAGAACTGGAAGATGGCAGAGGCATAACAGCAGACAAAAACCCAAAAAAGAAATCGGGCGGTATGTAGGTGCAATGTGGTATGATGAAAATCGGTGATCTACTAGTACGGTCCTACGTGTTACTAAACTAGTCATTAACTCTCATCAGTGGGAGTGTACTGTGTAGGCATACTAAAAAGTTCCGTTGCTCTGTGCAACATTACGTGATTATCCTGCATAACCCGCTTTGCAGGGTCATGTAAACGTGGTTAGACTTGTGTCAAGTATGACGGGTCTGCTGCACGCACTGTACATGGACCGCTTGTGCAGAGATTTTAAACACAGGCACTTGGGACAGAGTCAGTAAAAACTGAAAATAATATGAACACACATTCACAAATAGGCCCTACTACCGTACCCCCCTCTGTTACAGTTCCACTGTTGCGTCACTGTATATCAAGTTTCCTTCATAAAAACCTATGTAAAAACTAACGCCGAACTATAGTCCACTGAACAAAACTATGTAACTACCGTGGCCGAGAAGTGCACCTTGCTTTGTAATGTGACTTCAAACTCAGAAGTCCCGGCCGTTCGTGTGCTGATCCATCAAAAAATGTATACGATTCACGATTCCGATCGGCCCGGTAGTCGAGGGCGACGCGGAGCCGCGATTGGCTGGCCAGCGGGACGCCATATACAGCCGTGATTTGTTTACGCGTGCCGCGCGGCGGGACTCTGAGTTTGAAGTCACATTACAAAGCAAGGTGGCACTTCTCGGCCATGGAGTTACATAGTTTGTTTAGTGGACTATAGAGGGCAGAACGAGCCGAAGATGCGGTGGTAGTGTCCTGACAAGTTTGTGAAATATGAAAGAATCGAGGAGTGATCGTCGCAAATCGCCAAACGGAGTTCCTATCCTTCTATATATATATATATGAACGTCAACAGCACGCCCGACGGCGAGTGCGGGAGCGTCGCGTTAGTTTTTAGCATAGGTTTTTATAGAAGGAAAGTTGATATATCAGTGACTCAACAATGGAATGTAACAGAGGGTCAGCGGTAGTAGGTCCTATTTGAATGTGTGTTCATATTATTTCAGTTTTTACTGACTCTGTCCAAGTGCCTGTGATTTAAACTACTGAGTAGTGTAGTGAGTAACAGCTGAGGTATGTGATCAAGTGGAGGGTTAACAATTTTAATCATCATGACAGGTCAGATGCCAGCTTGTAGAATCGCATGAGCGTGGGTCCTCCGTGCGTCCGTGTGTCAACAGTTGGGACACAATCTTAACGCTCGACGTACGGTTACGATATTCGGGTGTGGGGGCGTAATCCGAAAACGAGTTTGGGATGTTGAAGCTGGGGTCAAAGTGCAAGGTAAGAGTGTAAAAGAAGGAACATTCCCTCCTTAACTTAAGGTATAGGAGGAAAATGGCAGAATTGCGGCACAAATCTAAACGCTCGACCTAGGCTCGTGATAGTCGTGTACGCATCATGGTAGGAAAAGTCATCACTGTGCCGACAATTGGAGGTCAAAAGTCAATGGGCACAGGGCAGATTAGACATTTTCTGAGGACATGGTCTGAATGGAGCGATTGGAAACTTTTTGTTCAGTGGTGACCTACCATTTTTATGGCTTTATTGAAAGGACATGAATGTGCTTTCCACTGACTGCGAAGAGTAAGTGTCTGATAACCTTTTGACCCTCAAGAGGAGGATAGTAACATGGATTTTGCTGTTAATGTGAAACAAAGACTGAACTGCTTTTTGCTATTGAGAGCCTCCTTCACCCGCCCCTCTCACCACCTCTCGCCGCACCTCCACCACCCTCCCTCACCACCACCACCACCACCACCACCACTCACTACGCTCGACGCATATCCAATATAACGTTAATATAGCGAAGTCATTAAAGCTAACAGCTATATCTTTATTACTGTACATACCGGTATAAGCAAAGCCTATCAGCGGTGGCGGAGGGCGCACTTTGTTCGTTTGGCCAGTGAGTTTATCAGAAGAATAGCCAGCTACAGTACACTCAGTTGAGCGCTGTCGCTCTGCGGTCACTGTT